TTTATTTTTAGTATAAAAATTTAACGCATAAATTTTGCTCCAAGGTGTTAAATATAATATTCCAATCTTGCAAACATTAAGTACATATTTGTAAGCGGTAGAGATAATGCAGTTAATCTTTCCTCTCCTCTTGCTTGCATGAAATATCACCGATTGGATTTTAGCCTTTAAAAAGATCCAAGCAATAGGTGAAAATGACTCAAAAACCGTATACCATTCTCGTTCTTGTCTGTCGCAAAAAGTTTGTCATCTTAGGGCGTTTTTTCTTGTAGAGTTTATTTCCATTTTCTATCAATGAGAAATTATAAAAGAAAATGACATTAAAAATACGGCGCTCACTTTGGGGGAAAAGTGCCAAAAAAGTCCTAAACCTTTTGCATTAGTGCCAATTTAGTCCTAAACCTTTTTTTGGTGCCAATTCAGTCCTAAACCTTTTGCATTGGTGCCAATTTAGTCCTAAACCTTTTTTTTGTGTCAATTAAGTCCTAAACCTTTTAAATTGGTGCCAATTCAGTCCTAAACCTTTTGTTTTTGTGCCAATTTAGTCCTTCCGGCCAATTTAGACCGGAATTTGCCTACGTGGACGCCTGCCGGCCGGCGGCCGGTCACCGGCGCCGACGTGGCGCCGACGTGGACAACTTTAATATTTTTTTAATATTTTTTTGAATTTTTATTTTTTTCCTTTTTTTTCTTTTCTTTTTCCACTTTTTTTTTTGGTTTCTTCTTCATCTGGCCGGTCGCCGGTCCGGCGACCGGCCAGAGGCCAGTGGCCGACGAGCTCGACCTCGCCGGCCACCGGGGAGGGCGGCCTCGCCCGGCGAGGCCGAGCCTCGCCATGGTCGGGCGAGGCTCGACCTCGCCGGATCCGGCAAGGTCGAGCCTCGCCCGCCGCCGGCGAGGCCCGACCTCGCCGGATCCGGCGAGGTCGGGCCTCGCCCGATCATGGCGAGGCTCGAGCCCTCGCCGGAGGCTGCGGCGAGGGCGAGCCTCGCCCGACCATGGCGAGGCCCGACCTCGCCGGAGGCCGCGGCGAGGGCGAGCCTCGCCCGACCAAGGCAAGGCTCGAGCCCTCGCCGGAGGTCGCGGCGAGGGCGAGCCTCGCCATGGTCGGGCGAGGCCCGACCTCGCCGGATCCGCGACGACGCTCGACCTCGCCGGATCCGGCGAGGTCGGGCCTCGCCCGACCATGGCGAGGCTCGCCCTCGCCGCGGCCTCCGGCGAGGGCTCGAGCCTGCCTTGTCGGGCGAGGCCCGACCTCGCCGGATCCGGCGAGGTCGACGCTCGACCTCGCCGGATCCGGCGAGGTCGGGCCTCGCCCGATCATGGCGAGGCTCGCCCTCGCCGCGGCCTCCGGCGAGGGCTCGAGCCTCGCCCGACCAAGGCGAGGCTCGCCCTCGCCAGAGACCGGTCGCCGGACCGGCGACCGGCCAGACGAAGGAGGGAGAGACAAAAAAAAAGTGGAAAAAAAAAGAAAAAAAAGGAAAAAAATAAAAATTCAAAAAAATATTAAAAAAATATTAAAGTTGTCCACGTCGGCGCCGGTGACCGGCCGCCGACCGGCAGGCATCCACGTAGGCAAATTCCGGTCTAAATTGGCCGGAAGGACTAAATTGGCACAAAAACAAAAGGTTTAGGACTGAATTGGCACCAATTTAAAAGGTTTAGGACTTAATTGGCACCAAAAAAAGGTTTAGGACTAAATTGGCACCAATGCAAAAGGTTTAGGACTGAATTGGCACCAAAAAAAGGTTTAGGACTAAATTGGCACTAATGCAAAAGGTTTAGGACTTTTTTGGCACTTTTCCCCTTACTTTGGTGTCAAAATTTTTCGTCAGATCACTTCAGTGTTAAATAAAAGAAAATACTATTATTTAAGTGCCTTCAACAACAAATTTCGATAATTCGTTCCACATGGCTTTTTTTAATGAAATTTTAATATCCATGTGGCTTTCTTGTAAATAAATAAAAAATGAAGTCCAATATGAACGATGACCTGGCCTTAAAACTCATTCTTTTTCCGGTTCTTTCTTCTCTCTAATCCCATAACAGAGATCGAAATCGCTTGGCTTGAATCTTAAACCCTCAGGGAGTAAGGATTCATCTTCAATGGCGACCAACCCACCCCAAATCTACCCCAAAAGTTGTGTCCATAGCTCCAACTCCACCTTTTACAGCAAGCACAACCCATTCTCCCCTCCCTAACCTCTCCCTCGACATCACCACCTTCATCTCCTCTTGTTCCCACCGCAGCTCCATCCCCAAAAGTTGTTTCCACAGCTCGATCAACTCCCTCGCCTCTTGCTTCTTCGCCATAGGCATCCGCAAGGGTGCCGTTGTCCTCTTCGTCTCCCTTAACTCCATCTCCTTTCCCGTTATCTACCTTGCCATCATGTCCCTCAACACCGTCATCACTACCACCAATTAGTTGTCCCTCGTTCTCATAATTTGAACATATTCTTGCTATATTTTTCTTTCCCAGCACCTATATCTTCATCACGGCTCTTTATTACTATCCATCCTCAAAATCCCACTGCAAAAATTGAAATTTCGGTGAGATAAAATCACACAAATGAAGTAGCAAACCTCTATTGCAAGTTTCAGTTACTGATTTTGCTCCAAATCCGTGGTTGTGAGGTTAGGATTTGAGGAAGAGAGTTGGAGAGACTCGTGGTCGTGGTCGTGGTCCGTGGACTGATGATGGCCGAGCGCAAGTGTTTCATGGGTGTCGACTGAACAAATAACAAAGAAATAATCATCATGGATAACAAGTGTTCCATCTCCTTCATTGGATCAGGTAAGGTCTATTCAATAATTAAAAAAAAAAAAAAGGAGCATCAATGCACTCTCCTCTAATTTCTATCGGCAAAATGTTCAATAAGCAAATGAGCAAATAAAGATATATATATATATATATATATATATATATATATATCCTACCAAAAAAAAAAGAGATATATGCGACTATTTATCAGTTATCGCATACTTTGTTTTTTATTAGAAGTTTCGCGAAGAATTCCGTACTACTAACGTATATTATATCTATGGAGCACTTAATCCTGCTAATCATAAGATGCCATTATTTTTCTCTAGACTTTTGTGAAAGCTTATTTTTTAAATAAAAGAGAACACAAAAGCATCTAAATTTCAAAAGTACTTTATAATTTAAACTCGATCTTGTGTGCGAGATTACTTCCAAATGCATTCTTGTTTTTTTGTTTATTTCGAATTTGGAGTGAATTGGTTTATTGTGATAAAAAAATTCAATTACAAGGGTATGTTATGTCCTAGGTATTACAGCAGAAACACAAATTAAGGAAATTCAACAAGAATTTAATCTTAATACTCTATACTTTATAATTCAACTTTAAAAATTCCCTAATTTAAATCTTGCCACCACATAACTAATCTTGGCTAAGTTTACTCTACAGTTAGTACAAAAATTTAGACTTGCTTGCGCATCAATTTATATGCCGCCTGTTATTAGAGGATAAACTCATGGAACTCTCCCATACACCAATGACGTATGAACTTATCCAAAAGGAGACCACTAAACCGCACTTCAGATTTCTTTTTGTTAATCACAGTTACTTCCAACATATAAGCTCCATTCGTTTCACGAAAAATAATTTTCAGAAAATCGTTTTTCAGATTTTTTGGCATTCGGTTCACGAAAAATAAACTAGTCAAGGAACACATTTCTCGCCAATGTAAAAAAAACCTTCAAAAATGAGGAAAATGTTTAGCTTATTTCACCTCACTTTCTTTCACCAAACACATTTTAATTTTTCTTTTCTTTTATTTTCTTTCTTTTTTTGAAAAACTAATTTTAATTATTTTTTTATTTCTTTTCTTTATTTTTTGTTTTCTTCCTCCTCGGGCAGCGACATCCGGCCACAAGCAAAGCTTGGCCTCTCTTGAGCCTCGCCAGCCTTGAGCGAGGCCGAGCATCGCCGAATCTGGCGTGGCCTTGCTCGAGGCTGGCAAGGCTCAAGAGAGGCCAAGCCTTGCTAGATATAGTGAGGCTAGGCTCGGCCATGGAAAATATTAAAAATTATTAAAAGAAGTGCAACAAGGATTTTCCACATCGAACGACAGAAAATATTTTCCAGTTCATTTTCATGTTACGGCCGAACACCGAAAAATATTATCATTTTCCTGAAAAATGCCTTCCTGGAAAATATTTTTCAGATGGGTCACATTTTCCATAAAACGAACGGAGTTATGAATAAAAATTTTCCTTAAAAAGACTCATTGTTTCTAGAAAAGGCGGATTATCGGGGATTGTTAAAACTTCACGGCAAGATTACCGGATCTCTTCCTTTGAATAAAACGTGTCAATCTATTCAATTATGATTAACTCAATCATTTTATGAATTTCGAAAGCATAATAATTCAGCAAAATTCCTAAAACAATCGATTTTGTTCACCCCGTCCAGCTTACACTTAACCTTTTTATATGTGCATATAAATGTATAACTTCGTCACTTTTTCTAAAACATTAGGATACATGTCGGTCGACTTGCAATTTCCTTATTAAAAGAACCCAACTCGGGAAAGTTCTTAGAGTGAAAGGACCTATATAGTTCAACTTTAGCAGCGGGCCTTTGAGTCAAGAGTTCAAGGTTTTCAAATTGGAATATGCCTTAAATAACGCCCTTTTCATTCCTCTTCTTTTTCCCGGGCGATTGTAGGGATGGGACTAAAGAGACTTTTTGGTTACAGCCAACCATGAAGAGAGTTCAGAGTCGATCTATTATGGCAAATTCCTCGTTGGCCTGGCGCGACGAAATATTTGTCACTTGTTTATTTTAGCAATTATACTTCTGGAAGATTAAGGGTGTATTTAGGAACATTTTTATTTATTTATTTATTTATCCGGAACAGAAATCTGTTGATTTTTCTATTTTTCGAAATGGACTAGTGATGGAGGAATAGAGTTGAAATTGAAATAAAAAAAAATTAAAAAAATCCGAAATACAAAAAGAGAAACATATCTTCTTTCTTCTAACGCCAGCCTCCTCCCCTGTTTCTCGTACTCTTCTTCTTTCCTCTTCGCTCGCACGGCGCAGCCGCCCTTCCTCGCCGCAGGAAACACTCGCCGCCATCGTCGGTCCTCTCTCGGCCCTCCCGCTTCCACCCGCGGCCCCGGCAACCCAGCTCGAAGCGACGGTTTTTCAGGGTACCATTTCGTTTCTCGCTCCTCAAAGTTTCGGCCTTTCTGGGTTTTGTTTTTCTGCTGCGCGTCTCTGATTTTCCTTTTCTTCGTGCTCCGCTTTGGTGGGTTGCATCGAGCTCATTGTGTAATGGCTGTGGATTAGGTTTCGGGTCTTGTGTATTTTTCTTCTTTGAGTTCTTTGCTGTAACTTGCCGGAGTTTCCAGAACTACGACTGGGTATGGTTGAATGTTTTGTGCTTTTTTAGGGCACGGAAACCTTAATTTGTGCTGAACGATTGACATTATGAACGGGTGTTTGAATTTGACGTTTCTCTGTATTACTTCTCTTGGGTTTGTTTATTCACTGCCTATTGTTGAGAGAAATGCTGACCATACGTGTAGCTAGAACTGCTGCTGTGTCGTCCCCGTTTCAGGACAGTTTATGATGGATATGTCTTCTAGTTCGTGCATTGTGGACTGTACAGACTTCTGTTATTTCACTTCGCGCGAGAGGAATTGAACAAAAAGTTACGGTTTGAGAAAAGATGCTGCTTTTTGGGTGGATGGTTTGAGTAGTGTAGTGTAGTGTATTGTGGAAATAAATTTAAGCAACTAAGAGGTGTCATGTTAACAAAACAGTCCAACTGAAGTCAGAAGAGCCAACACTTGTCTTATGGAAGAGAGTTGATGGATGTATTGGCTTAATCTTGGGTTAAGGCATATCGATTCTTAGGAAACATGGATAGTGAAGGTATATTATGGAGTTATATTTGAGAAGTAATATGGGATAACAAGAGCTAATCTTTGTGGAAAGATTTTGTGGAGCCAACCTCATATGATGAAGGCTTGCCAAGTTGAGTTTATTTTAGTGATAACAACTTTAGTCCTTTGGCCAAAAAGAGAGAAAAAAACTAGTAGTCTATATGATGGTTTCATTTGATTACATAAATCACAGTAAAATGTGACAGTGGAGACCTTTTCCAATAGTTTTGCACTTGACGAGTCAAATGGGAGGTAAAATAGTTCTGGTTAAGCTTTTGTAAGGTTCTCATGTTTGAAGGTAGGAAAAAATGTTGTACAAAGGCATGAAAGTTGAATATGTCAATGTCATGTGTTTCAAGACATAAGGGGCGGAGACTTTGCATTTGCTGCTCTTTTATCAAGTACTTCTAGCTGCATCTAACATTGTCAAAGGACCATTTCTTCTCGTTAGGTGCTTGAGTGGATTTGGGTGAGGATCTGTGGCTGAGGGGCAAGGTGGAAGTAAATTTAAGTACGCAAATGCCTTTTATACCTACTTGTGAGGCATTTGGTGCCAAGTAATTAGCCCCAATCAACTTTGTTACTTTTTGTTTGAAAAGTAAATACGGTCTGAATAATTATGTATTCCCTTTGAATGTTCTACCCAATATGGTTAACTCTCTATACTTGATTGTGCATCTTTATTAGACTTTTTGTAAAGTTAATACTTTGATAGCAACAGTTGTATCATGAGGACTTATACTGAATTTGCAAGTTGATGTTTTACCTTTATTCTGGAAATAGGATCTTGATTGGATTAGCTTTACTCCCATTCTCCCATACAAAATTCCAATTTGCTCGGATATCTTGTAAAGTAGGTCTAACTTAGTAATGGTCTTACTCCGTTTTGTTGGTTGTTATCATGACCTACTCTTCCACTCTTGGTCTGTGGAAGTAATTATTGCAGGATATTATGTTATACAAGATTTGTGTCATATATTTTCTGCATTCTTTCTCTATATTTAATGCAGTATTTCATGTAATTCCTACATGACTTTGTTATGATTTAATGCATGGCTCATATGATGCTCGACTAGTCAAGGTTATATGGCATCTCAGAAAGAGGCTTTCATCGCAAAGTGGACCGAGCCTTTAACCAACCTGTATATAAGTTTGTTGGTAGAAGAGGTCAAAAAGGGAAATCGCACCTCTTCTACTTTCAACAAAGCAGGGTGGAATAACATTCGAGCTGAATTCAATAAACGGACAGTACTCCAATATAACCTAGTACAATTGAAGAACAAGGTGAACAAATTGAAAAAACAGTATTGTAGTTTCAGGAAGCTTCTTTCACAATCTGGATTTGCCTGGGATAACATAAATAAAACAGTCGTTGTCGATGATCCAAGTATATGGGAACCTCACATCAAGGTATCATTTATCTTTTGGTCATTTTGAGATCATTATAGATGTAAGTTTTAAGAGGTTTGATTATGTTGTTGATGTATGTCATCATTGTGAAATTGCAGGATAATAGAGAGTGGGCAAAATTCAAGAAGGATGGGTTACCTCAGTATCCCGAGCTATGTATTGTATTTGGGGATACATATGCTACTGGAGAGCATGCAGTAGGAAATGCTGAAAATTTGATGATGTCAGAGGAAGATGACTATGGTGGTAGTGATCCAGAGGACTTCAGTGAACACTACATTGATGAGGGAGTCTTTACATCTGACAATACTTCTGCTTTAGGTCATGACAAGCACAAATTGGATAGGACTCCAAATACCAAGAGGAGAAGAAAGAGTAACTCATATAATATTGCTAGCACCTGCAAAGCCATACAAGAGATGATCAAATGTAGGGCAAGTCAATATGTGAGTTGCTCTGCCACCTCACAAGTCACACCACCACCTGTAGACCCCTTCTCCGTTTCTGCTGTGATTGATGTCCTAGTTAGCATGCCTGAGTTGGAGCAGAATCTTTATAACAAAGCAGTGGAACGAGCATGTATTAGTGCCACATGGAGGGAGGCTTTCATCAAATCGCCCACTGAAAGGAGAAATGGACTTCTCCGATATCTTAAGTAGGTGTTGGGAAATGTAATGTGGATTGCGTAGGATTTTTTGTTTCATTTTACTTTATGACTTATGTTATTGGTTTTTATTTGGTTTTTAAAGATATTCATGTTGAGACTTTTGTATTTGTGTGGTTGTGGTGGCATGGGTATGATGTTTTGCGTGGGATTTTTATGTTTGGTTTACTTTCACTCTACGACTTATGTTATTGGTTGTAATTAGGTTTTTTTTCCAGATATTTATATTGATGTTATTGTATTTGTGTGATAGCATAGGTAATGTGGAAGGGGGACCGAGTAGTTTGTCAAATGGGCAGGTAGTACCAGTTGTGCTTGGATGCATTTGATCTTGACATAATGATAGTATGGTTGTGCAATATTACATTGACATGTGAAATTTATTTTCATGTACGCTGGGTGGAAGGTTGTGCCAACAATTGTCGAGTCCTCTTGGTAGCACTCCTCCAGCATCCAATATTTACTGTCTATAAAAAATAATTTTCTATAGTATAATGTGCTGGTCTATTTGATCATCATTAAATAAATCTCTTTATGAATTTGAAAGCATGTTATTTCAAAAAAAATTCTATAAACAATGAAATACATTTTTAATATTTTCTACATGCATGCTAAATTTAAATTTTCTTTCAACCATGTTTCATTACTAAACAAATATTGTTACATTAGACATTTTATCTAAATATTATAATTAAATACCACTATTTCTCTTTTGACTTTTGTGAAAGTTTTATCTGTTAGATTAAAGAAAATACTTGAGAATTTAAATTTCAAAAGTACTTTATGATTTAAAATTGATCTAGTGAGTAAGTTTACTTTTGCTTTTGGTAGGATGTACAAGTTTACTTAAAATGACTCTTTTTTGAATTTGTATTAAGCCTGTTTTTTATTATAAAGGAATTCAATTACAAGGGAATGTGTATGTCGTAGGTATTACTGCAACAGCACAAATCAAGAAAATTCAATAAGATTTCTTAATTTGAATACTCTATACTGGATATTTCAACTTAAAAGTTTCTTAATTTAAATTTTGCCATCATATGACCAACACTGGTTAAGTTTACTCAACGGTCATTACCAAATATAAGACTAGCTTATGCATTAATTCGTCCGCAGCCTGTCCATAGAAGATAAACACATGGGCAACTCCCCTACAAACCGATGAAGTACAAACTCATCCACAAACGCACTCACTTATTTCTAGGGGTGAGCATCTGGTCCCGATTCTACCGGGATCTGTTCGTCTTTCAGTTTTTTGGCTCTCTCACACCTTTTTTCCCTTGTTTCTAACCAATGCACACGGTCTCACCATCCATTGCTTGCTCCCTCTCGCGTTCAAAGGGCCGCGCTCTCACCTATCTCTCTCGCTCTCACAATCTCATAGTCTCTCAGCATCCAATTCGCTCTCATAGTACCATTGCCTGCAGGTGAAATCGAAGCCTCATACAACCGGAAAACTCAATTCAACAAAGAGAAGACAAATGCTGTTGAAGATTTCAAAGGAGAAATTGAAGTTAGGGTTTGAATTTTTGGGTTTTGGAGATTCCAGTTTCGATTTTCTGTTATTCTCCAACATGATGTTGAGTAAGGTTTTGAGGTCGTGATTTGTCCGAGAATTTAGACTTGAAATGAACGAACTGAAATTACTCAAGTGATTTGTCCGCGCTCGGCGCACCCATCATCAATGAAATTTATCCCATCAAAAAATAAAGGAGTTTTAGTCAGAAGGCATGGTGCCGCTTTTGGTGTTAGAAGAGTATTTGCTATAAATTTCATTGTAAAATCAATGTATCATTTTAAGAGTATTAATGTGTGCGGGACGACATTTTGGCTGAAGTTGGGTGACCACTCGACGTCGAAGCCAACGAGCAGAGTGCTGCAGGACATGAGCCAAGAGAAGGCTATGGGAGGGGAGTGGGTGAATATAAAATGGTGTAACTGTGAATATGGTTTAAGTTAAATATCAATTTTCAAATGTCACAATTTTTTTACAAAATTAAGCAAAATTTAATATGGTGTAACTATGAATATAATTTTCATCTTATCGAAATTACTCCATATTTTCCTTTTGATTCACTAGTAAAAAGGTCTAAGTCCTAACGGTTATCAAAATATGTCATTTGTAGTTTATATGAAACTAGTGAAAGATATTTGCAAATGAAAGCCATTACATGATAAAAAGCTAATTACACTATAAATTGTTGCCGCTTGCCCGTCATTTGGAAAAGAGTGTTGGTGGCATGACCCTTACAAATATATCATATATTAAATGATAATTTCTTTTGATAATTCTTAAGCGACATGATTATTATCAAATAAATTTCGTCGAAAAATCAATGTATCATTCTAAGATTATTAATGTGTGTGGGAGATGACTATTAATTATTTTTAAAATTTTTATGGAAAATCTATACAACTTTAACACAAAAAGTATTTGTTAGAAGAGCAAAATCTCTTGCATTGCATTAGCCTTCTAACTAATACTCCACTATTCTTTAATTGCTTGTGCATTTCAAAAGTTCGAATTACAAGCTTTCCGTTGAAATAAAAATCGAGTCAACCACTCGGACTAAAAAGTTATAATCAAGTTCGGTCAAATTTGAATAAAAATATAATATTTTCCAAGCGGTGAAAATATTATCATAAGCTTCAAAAGAGGTTCATTAATCACGAAAAGGACATATGAAGCAACCCCAGATAAATTATAGAGCGTAAATATCAACACATGCCACGATCAATTGATTGAGCTTGGTATGCCTAACATGTGCAAAGTGTAAATAGCTAGTAAGTACAACACAATGAGCAAATTAACATGAACACATCGAACCTACAGTTTGGTGCCAAATATAGTTCTTCCTTGTGCTTTCTTATAACAAATTCATGACATACAAGAATAAACACCAATTGATGTTAATTATGAAAATAACTAGTAAGGTTTGAGACTAGCGAGCAACACATTTATACCGGCACTAGAAGCCTTGAGGCTGGCGAGCAATGGATGTACTCTGCTCTTGCACTCCAAGCTCATAACTATATAATTATATTGAAGTAATACACCGGTTCTCACAAAACAAAAGAAAATCCTTTTTTTCAAAACTCATTCCTTATTTTATTAGTTAATGATCTAGTGATTGGATCTCTATGCTTATTCTGATAAAAAATGAAATATTCAAATGATTTCTCATGGAATGACTATTCATCTATTGTATTTTCACGTAATTCTTTCTTCTAAAGAACCCATTTCAGTCACTTGGCACTTCGATCACTTGTTGCCTTCTTTTTACGTTGTCCAGGCACAAGATCTTAAAACAATCTATCTAAGTGTTTGTTTCCGAAGTAACTATCATTAACTAGCATCATTTGGATGTAACCCTTTAGGAGAAATTCATCGATTTGGTTAGATCAAATTTAGGTCTAAAATAAGAATACCCCTTATATATGATCTCCTATATATATCCACATATAGATACATTGACTTTATATTTCATACATCCACCTCGATTCCGATCTATTTAAAAATTACTATAATTTATTTACCCATATATTCATAAGAGATATGTTCGGCGGAAACCGCCATATTCTACTAGAAGTAACAATATTTCTCTAAATTGAGAATACACAACTGATTTTGAGTTCAAATTTTGATCCTTTGCTTCAAGGACTATTAAAAAGAGCAGAAGGTTTAGCAGAAGAACAATTTTCCACTTTGCCGCTTTTGAATGATTTGGGTGGAGCAGAGAATATGTCGGATTCAGTCAAGGGACAGTTCCTTTTCGAGTTTTGCAGAGTCTTGTTATTAGATACATGTGCCACATTTCAAATACAGTTACATATCCTACATTGCACATCTAGGAAAAGAAAAATCGAACTCCACATTCATAGTTGGTCTTCCAAGGTAAACAATTGACATGCAATCTATAATTGTGACAGCATTTATGGCCCTGGTAACAAAAAAAAAATAGAAAATTCATTTGCATAATTAACTACAAGTACAAACTTAAGGATATCATTTATTAAACAAAGTTTAAGTTCCACAAAATGCTAAAGTGTGTTCATCAAAATCTACATAACAAAACACATCTTCAGATACTAGTCATATAACTCCCATCCTTGTGGTTTGGTCTAAAGATGTTAAATGTCGACAAAAAAGGTTTAAGGTATGGTGAGACTTAAAATAAAGTGAGATAGATGAGAAGAAAGAGTGAATCTTCCAAATCAAATGTTTTCCTATAGTGTATAGCTAACTCAAGACGGTAGATTGACAAACGAGTCATAGTAACAAATATACCTTGATATGTGTACTTTTGTTGGTGTTACCATTGGAATAATACTTTGTTCAGGTTTGCATTTTTGTTGGACAAGACACAAATTCTTTTATCTGGTTTTTTTATGAGAAATAAGGTTCCAAAACCATATTCACTTATCAAAACCAAGTTACGGCAAAAGTCATGCAAATAGTGTTTTCGAATATACAACATTATTTATGCACTTTGCACATTGAGAAAAATGTTAATCAAAACATGTCACATCTCTATCACAAGTCAAGGTTTTTTTTTTTTGTTCGAATATCACAAGTCGAGGTTTAAGGATAAGTATTTCTCAAAAATCATGCATAGATGTCTCTACTTGGAAGAAAATGGAGGAGTTGGATATTGGCTTAAGAGGTTATATGACTCGATATATAAATAGAGTTTAGCTTTTGGTCGTGATACTTTTTTTGTGTGGTATTAGACCACTTTTAGCTTCTATTGAATCGAGAAATGGATATGATTGTCTATCTTTTTTATTTGATATAATATTAACTCAAAGGAGTGGGAGAAACGATAATTTCTTCCAAAAAACACGAACTAAGATATTGACCCTTGTAATTTCCACCACATGAACAACTAAAATACATGAGAGAAAGTGAAGATCAAGATGATTGCAGATTTCGTGGGAAGCCCTAATTGCAGGTTTTGAATAACGACATATTAACTCATGCTGCTTCGTTGTATACTAGTTCAATTGTTTTTATTAAGTTTTATGGTAAGTTTTATGGAGAATTTTTGCAAAGACTTTTCGAATCGGAATTCAGGCACTCCTTTGGATGGGTTGGTTTATGAATACACCGAAAGTGTAAGAGGAGTCAAAGTAAACATTTTATCGAAATTAATTCGTAGATTTTTCAGTTTCTTATGAATGCAAACTATTTGAATCAAAAGGGTGGACCTGTCATCGTTCCTTACACTCGTTGAATAGGAACACCAGTTTCAAGTATTCCATCTTCTTATATTTTGAAAAGACGGACTAAAGATGCTAAGAAAGAGATTTTAAAAAATCTTGTGTGGTGATGAGTTTTGGAGTCGAAAATGAATGTACGACAAGAATAGCGACAAAGAACTTAAATACAATAGGCTAAAATTTCATCATATTAATTTAGTGTGGTATTGACAGTTTTTTTTTTGTTTAAAATGTGTTAGTGTAGGTGATGCTAGCAATAAATGGATTTATTAAAAAAAAAGTTATCTTTCAATATATTTTTGTTGCTTCCATTTATAAATTTAAATGTGCTAGGAAATAATTCCACACTTCAAATTGTAAAACCTATTCATTAGTAAAATGTTTTATTTTTCAATATGCAGATTTGAATTTGATTTAATTGTAAATCAAATGGCCTAATTTTAGGATACTTTCGTAATTATATTCACAAGAAGAGATATATGCTTAAAATGTATTTTGAAATATTTTTATCTTTATTTTTATTATAAACTCCATGAGAGATTAAATTTGTAGGGTAGTAAATCAGTAAATGAAAACTTAGTTGCTGATTCCATGAAACTTGTATTTAGATTTTAGTTATCGGTGGTAGATTAATTCTAAAATAATAAAGATTGTGCAAAATTTTGAAAAATTGTTAATAATTTGAGAGGGAAGTAAAAGCGACTAGGATGAACAGGGTGACTAGGAAATTTTGAAGATGATTTGTCAAACGCAGTTTGAGAAATAATTTTTGGGGCTAAACTATTTTGGGAATTACTTTATGGCTAATTTATGTGATAAATGTATTGGACGTCCCAAAACTTGTCGCAAAAGTATAATTAAGTACTAAAACTTTTAAAAAGTGTAATCAAATGCTAAAACTTATCGAATTGGTGCAATCAAGTCCTTCCGTTAATTACACTAACAAGTTTTAGGATTTGATTACACTTCTTGAAAGTTTTAGGACTCGATTGCAATTTCGGGACAAGTTTTAAGACTTCATTGCACTTTTTAAAAATTTTAGGACACGACTTCGCGACAAGTTTAGGACTTTATTACACTCTTTGAAAGTTTTAGAATTTAATTTCACTTTAATCACGAATTTTAGAACTTATGACTTTTTTTTTTTTTTGGTCGAAGAACTTATCACTTCGCAAGTTATTCAATACACGCACTGAACTTGCCTTCTCTCCGGCAACTGATCAAGAAACTCCCCTTACGTACAACACACCTACATGCGCAAGAACACCTACATTCGTCTGCTGTCTTCATGCAAGAACCTGCGCTCTCTCCTCCAAGCACACGCGCGCATAGTAATCGCAGGCCTCGGCCAAGACGCCTCCACGACCACCCACCTCATAAACTCCTACTCTTCGCTTCAAAGATGCGACCTTGCTCGCTCCGTCCTCGACACCGCGCCGGCTCCGAGCGTCGTGTCGTGGAACTCCATGATAAGAGCTTATACGAGGTCGAGCCGACACCGGGAGGCTCTGAAGATGTACCGTTCGATGGCGGGCAGGGGCTTGGAACCGGACGGGTATACTTTCACTTTTGTTTTGAAAGCTTGTGCGGGTGCTCCGGATTTGCAAGAGGGTGCTTTGATCCGCCGTGAAGTCTGTCGCAGAGGGCTGGAGAGTGATGTGTTTATATGCACTGGTCTGATAGTTATGTATTGTAAAGCAGGGGATTTGGAGAGTGCACGAGAAATATTTGATAAATTGCCTGTGAGAGACGTTGTCGCCTGGAACTCAATGATCGCCGGGCTATCACATGGCTCGGACCCTCTTGAGGCTTTGGCACTTTTTAAGAGAATGCAGCTGACAGGAGTGGTTCCCCAGTCGGTCAGCCTGTTGAATGTGTTTCCAGCTGTTTCGAGATTGGCGGATGTTGATTCGTGCAGATGTATGCATGCCTATGGGATTAGGATGGATTTTGGCTCGGAATTTTCGAATGCTTTGATTGACACATATGCAAAGTGTGGGGATGTAGAGTCAGCTCGCCTGGTTTTTGACCTTATTCGTACTCCAGATGATGTTTCATGGAGTACTATGATGGCGGGTTATGCTCATAATGGATGTTTCTCTGAGGTTTTGGGTTTATATGACAACATGAAAGCAATAGATCTTCAGATGAATAAGGTCTCGGTCATAAGTGCTCTATTAGCTGCAGGAGAGATTAAAGATTTAGAGAAGGGGAAAGAGATACATCAGTTTGCCAAAAAACAAGCTATCGATGTGGATGTTCTTGTTGCTACTCCAATAATAACCATGTATGCAAAGTGTGGAGAGTTGGAGAAAGCTGAAAAATTGCTTAAGGGGCTCCCAGAAAGGGATCTAGTTGCTTGGTCTGCACTCATTGCCGTTCTTGTCCAATCTGGTTATCCTAAAAAGGCATTATCCGTACTTCAAGATATGGAGAACGAAAACATGAAACCAAATAAGGTAACTCTGATCAGTATCCTCCCAGCCTGTGCTGAACTATCTTCTCTGAGATTAGGCAAGAGCATACACTGTTATGCCATCAAGGCTGATGTTGATTCTGACTTTTCAATGGGAACAGCCTTACTGTCCATGTATGCTAAATGTGGACATTTTAGCTATGCACACATTCTATTTGACACCGTGCAATATAAAGATGTTGTGACATGGAATGCTTTGATAAATGGGTACTCTCAGAATGGTGAAGTGGACCAAGCAATTGAAATATACCATAAACTGCAGTTTTCTGGTTTGCACCCAGATGCGGGAACTATGGTGGGTTTGATACCAGCTTGTGCCCTCCTGAATGATCTCAAGCAAGGAACTTCTGTTCATGCTCTGATTATTAAGAGTGGGTTTGATTCTGATTGCCATGTTAATAGTGCACTCATTGACATGTATTCCAAGTGTGGCAATTTTCCCTCAGCATTGTACTTGTTTAACAGACTGGATTTCATTAGGGACAAGGTATCTTGGAATATAATGATTGCCGCATTCACACAGAATGGAGATGCCAAGAAAGCTTTATCTGCATTTCGCCAGATGAGATTGGAGAACCATCAGCCAAATTTAGTTACCTATGCGAGCATCCTTCCTGCAGCAGCATACTTGGCAGCCCTGAGAGAAGGGATGAGTTATCATTCTTGCATCATCAAAATGGGGTTTCTGTCATATACTGTGGTTGGCAATAGTCTCATTGACATGTATGCTAAGTGTGGCAAGATTGATTTATCTAAGAGATGTTTCGATGAGATGGAAAACAAGGACACAGTCTCCTGGAATTCTATGCTGGCAGGATGTGCAGTACATGGTCAAGGGGACCATGCCGTTGCACTCTTCTTGCTGATGCGAAAAAACCACATAGAAGTTGATTCTGTGTCCTATGTCAATGTTTTGTCTGCTTGCAGACATGCGGGTTTAATAGAAGAAGGAAAGAAAATTTTCCATACCATGCAAGAAGAATGTAGGATTCAGCCAGATGCGGAACATTACGCATGCATGGTAGATTTGCTAGGCCGAGCTGGCTTATTTGATGAAACATTGTGTCTGATTGAGAAAATGCCAATGGAACCTGATGCTGGAGTCTGGGGAGCCTTACTGGGAGCCAGCATGATGTATTCTAATGTGAAGTTGGGCGAAGTTGCATTGAAGCATCTCGCTGAAATTGAGCCTGGGAACCCAACACACTCTGTAGTTTTGTCAAACATGTATGCTCAATCTGGTAGGTGGGCAGATGCAGGAAAGAGCAGGTTAAATTTGAAAGACACCGGGATGAAGAAAACCCCTGGTTGTAGCTGGTTTGCAGTGAAAAACAGGATTCACACGTTTATAACGGGGGACTCAAATCAGCCCTAATACAAGAAAATGCAACTTTTGTGGAACAATTTACTTGAGAAAATGGAAAATTTGGGGTTTTATTCCTGACAGGAGCTGTGTCTAGCAGAATTTGGCGGAAGAGGATAAATAACAGTTCCTTCACAATCATAGTGAAAGACTAGCCATAACTTTTGCCCTTCCAAATACAGAACCTGGATCAACAGTGAAGAATCTTCGTATATGTGTAGACTGCCATTGCTACAGCTATCAAATACATTGCAAAATTTACAATTCGCAAAATCATTGTGCGAGATGCCACCCGTTTGCATCACTTTGGGGAGGGCATCTGCTCGTGTGGGGCATCTGTAGCATAATGCTTAAAAAGAAGAATGAGTGGGGACAGTGACCACAGATTAATCCAGCATTACAAGAATTTTGGATTGGAGTAGCAAGAACACCGATCTGTCAGCTGCATAATCTTGTTTGGGGAGGAAGTGAAACTTACGATCCTATAAATTCTCTCCCCTCATTCTTGTCTTCAAAGCCGACGATATGCTTGGCGCTAGGGCTGGAGATCCCGTTGATCCACAGAATTGTTATTTTTTAGGATCATATGTAATTTGCACCGTGAATGTAAAGGAAAGGCATCATGTTCTTTGCATACTCCTTTCCCACTGCGTGTATATTTTCCAGTGCTCATACTGGAGCAGTCTGACACACGAGATTATGATGCAATTTGATGAAACAACAGAATGCGGTGGTAGAATGATAGCGGCAAGGAAGGAGCAGCAGTGAAGATAGAGATGAACGCAAGGCTGCTAATTGACTGGTGCAAGGACATTATGCCAAGGGTAAGCATTAAAGCTTATAGATGAGCTCAAGATGCATAGGTAAATGGAGCAAATATCTCCAATTTCTTTCTGTTGGCTGCTGATAGGAAGGAAGATAAGATAGAGGCGATGAAGGCAGCGGCAGAGCAACAAGGAAGGACCTGCAAGAAAGACACCAGAGGTGGAGCACCGACTACGATGAACAGTGGTTGGCAGGCTGCGGCTGAGTGAGATTGAGAGAGAAGAGGGCGTACCTATGGGTTTTTTGATGCAAGTGTCCCACTTACCTATGTTCAAATTTTAAAAAAGCTCACTCATCAGAGGTCTGTTGATAGATTGGAGCTCACTAATTACGTACTCGATCATGTTCATGAGTTACTCTGAGTCAAAGTGTTAATAAATTCAAGCTCGCTCACGGCTGCTGGAACAGCCTGAACTCGAGGACGAAAAATTGCTTAGCTTGTAATTCACCTATGCCCACAGCTTTGACTGGCGAAAACGTAGGCCACTAACAGGATGCTCTTGCCCGAGCATCTTTTTGCCAGTGTGCAAAGCAAATCTTGTTGTCGAATCAGTGACAGCCATTACTTGTATCGTGAACTGATAGAGAAGGTTGCCTATGAACAGGCTATGCAGGAATTGATACGGTGAGAGCTACATATAAGCAAATAAAAGTTTTGCCTTAAGTAAGAGTGCTTTTAAAATGGTCTATCTTACAACGCGAGTGTCATTGTTGATGAAATTTCTGGAGCAAGTCCAGAAATTGGACTCAGAAATTAAGTGTCATGAAAATAAATCTCCAAAAAGGATAGACATATCAAAGAGGTATGTCGGGCAGGTTTGGGTTGGACCTTAGTAGAAAAAATTTTCCTTACTGTAAGGAAAATTTAGGCGCAACCAACTTATTAGGGATAGCTCGGAAACTTGTATTCTTTGCACACTTCATGAATAATTGATTAGTTACAATAAATTAGAATAACTTGTTTGTCATCCAACCACTATTAAGTTGAACAATAATCTTACAGAAACTAAAAGGCTAAAATAAGACAAATCTAATTAGAGGTACGGACAGCACGTCGTTTTCGTCAATGGAATTTCTTAAACCAAAACTGAAATCCTAACTACACATGACATATCTATAAGCTTTTGATCCAGACATTCTAACCCGTAACATCTGGGTAGGCTCTCTTTGGATAGGCTTGAAGCTTCTAAGGCTTACCCACAATGTTTGAAGCTTACTATTCTCTAAAGGGCACGGCTAAATCCACAGCATAAATAACTGCTTTTACAGCTTATTTACTGGCGAGACTGCATTACCCCTAGAAAACAACAGATTTCTATGGTGGTGGGAAACAGCCAAATTCACAAAGAAGAATAAATTTGGTGGTGCGCATTTCCGGATTGAACTCAACTATCCTGTTTAAACAATCTACCCGTTGTAATACAAGGTAAGCATGCTCTAAACAAGCATCTTTCAAGGAGAGACGAAGACCTTGCAACGCCAGGATAGAGCCTCTGAATCTTGCAATTCAACCCTTGCTTTATGGAAGTAACGGTCCAAAGTTTGCTCTCTCTCATCCATGACATCAGTGGACATTGTACCTTCAGCTAGTTTGACTGCAGCTATTTGGGACAATTGAAAATTTTCTCCTGTGCGTTGCAACTTCCTAGCAATTTCTTGCTCGCCTAGCATCACCAGGCAAATTAGCAGAGACCGCAGCTCACGCATAGCTCCATTGGTTAAAGACATGCCCTTCAGATGCTCTACCAGGGCCATTTCCTCGCCAGGGCTGAGACGTGAAACACATCATAGACCCATTATTTTGTGACCAAAAAGAAGCAAATAAAAAACGAAAGTAGTGAGAAAACTTAAAGCGGAAATACCTTCCAGGTCGAATCTTCCCTCTGTTTCTCTGTCGCCTTGATTCTCTTGCTTTGGTACCAGCAGAAGAGCTGACGATGGAAGCAGTGGAGCCTGTCCTTGTCCTGCTCATGAGCCAATCAAGAGCTCAATAAAACGAAACATAAGCAACCAGAGCATAATATTCAGATAAATGTGGAACTTAAAGGAATGAAACTTGAGTTCCCATCAGAGAATGGAAAAACCGGTGCAGAGAGTTCACATAATAAAAATGCATATCACGCCACCAGTGTCAGTTCAAACTCCCGCATTAGGAAATGGACAAGCCATGCAGAACAACAGGAAAGAAAAGAATACAAAGCAAACAGTGTCACTTCCGACCCTCCATGCACATTTGAATATGGGAGAAGAAAACATTTACATCAGGAAGTAAAGACAACCAACTTACAAAATTCATTATGCAGTGGAACTATCAAAGTTTTAGATAATATCACACTAAGCAGGATATTGCAAAAGGTGGGTCACAGCAGGATATACGCAAGAGACACTAACAAAAAGTAAGCCACTGTATGCCACCATAAGATGCATCCTAAGGACCGATCGCGACCAAAAGAAAAAAAAAATGACCAATCCCAGAATAAAATACAATATCTAGTCAATATTCAAAATGTACATCCCTAATGCAAGCAGAAGCAAGTACTAGTAACAATTTAAAAATATAATATAAGCGGAAAAAGTCCATAATATTTAAGAGAAACTTTAGTTGTCTGGAACAAGCTATGAAAGCATGATGGATCCAAAAGCAACACAAAGTAAGGACACAAAGGTCATACCCTCTGGTGTAAGCACTCATTCCACTGAAGTTACTGCTAGCTTCGGAAGCGGTATCATCGTCAAGATCGGCCATTGATCGTTCATCTGACTGGAGTTTTGCTGCAAGAAGTAATCTTCTCTGCCGAACAGCCAAGTATCGGGTTAAATACTTCCCAACTTTTTCCAAGCCTTCTTCATACTCACTTATGAGTGAGCCCCCACATTCAAGAGATGCATTCCTGATTTCAGAGATTAAATCCTCTCTCCTGTGCAAAAAAGAGATCCTTAAAGCGTCCTCCCACTCCCTTGCAGTAATTAATAAACCCACCCCAGATTTCACATCTGCACAATACTCCAAAGCGATTTTCGCAGCTTCACCCGGTTTCCCTATTGCTTGGAGTTCTTCACAGAGCTCATGAGCCAGTTGCACAGTCTCATCTTTTCCCAATTTTAAAAGACCAGCAACTGCAAGCACACCAGACCAACTACCAGATGAGCGGTAAGCCTTCAAAGCCTTTTCTAAGTTGGAACAGCATAAATAAGTGGTTGCAGCATGCTCGAAACATTTCAAATCATTGAGATGATCACCCCAGGCCTCAAGCACTTGATTCCTCTTATTAGGATCAGTAGTCAGTTGCAGTCCCAAAGGGAAAAGCTGAGGATTTTTCTTTATAAGGTTCATAAAATCAATATAATGAGCATCTCCAGCCGAAGCAATGTGCTTAAGAGCATTCTCATACCTCTTCAACTTAAGGTCAATAGTATAATGCATTAAGACAGCAGGCATGCGTTGCAGTTCTTGAAGGAAAGGAAGAAATTCCTTGGGATCTTTCTGGGAGTTCAGCGCCACCATGGCAGCAAGATTTAGATCATAAAGTCCCAGAGCAGCTTCAAAAACTGCCTCAGAATCTGATAACCAGAGCAGATGCTTTAAAGCTTCTTCAGCTGAAGGTAAAGATATTCTTCTTGGGTCATCAGAACCTGACAATTCCAACTCACGAATGACTTTTACTCTCTCAAGAGCTTCCTCAAGAGCAGGAGGATCACTTCGTGCTAAAGTGGTCAATATGCAAAGCTCCCGTGCAGGACTTTCGGGTAGTTTTCCTTGAATAGCAGTTCTTATCGCAAGAAAGACTGAAAAGACCTTGTTATCGGGATCAAAGCCCTTCAGTTCTCTGGCCCCCTCATTTTTGGTCTCGTTTGTGTAAGGTAAAGCTACATAATTCTTGTATAGCCTCTCTGTAACATTTTCTTTCTTTATGGCACAAATGAACTCAGTTAAGTGATTCAAATTGTTGACCTGCTTGACAAATTCTGGAGCATATTGGACAAATGTTTGCCAGCCACAGTGGTCAATGATAACATTGAAGTCTATTCTATGCCGCCTCACCATATACAGTGCATCTCTAAAACGCTGCTCAGCCAATGCATTGACAATAGAAGCTAAAACCAACTTTCTAGGGTAAATACATTCGAGATTTCCTCGAGTTGTCTGTAGTAAAACTGCAGCTTCATCTCCATGCAAGACACCGATAATCTTGGCTCCTCTCTCCCATATATTTATGTATTTCCTGTTTTCTTCATCCCGTCTCTTGTTACCAGCACGAAGAAAATTGTCATACTTTGACTCCACATCTCCATGTAATACATCGCTAGTATCAACAATAAAAAGCAGATCTTGTTTGGTAGCAAAAATCAAGTGTGTGATCACTTGGTCCCCACGATTTGAGTAAAATGAGAAACTGCTGCAGTTATTGCACAAAATCTTCCCGCTAACTTGTAGCCTTCCCATGTCATCAAGTCCAAAAAGCAAAGATTCTGAAGAACAGCCACCAATAGGAACAAGACTCATCCATGGGCAAGATGACAAAAAGTTAAAATCACACCGTTTCATAGCTCCTCCTTGTACACATGTTTTCGATGTGTATTTAAACATATTTCCACCATCAAACTGGATGACTGCCGAAGACTGCTTGGCAGGATCTGAAGCAATGGAAATAACTGGTCTTTGTAAAGGAATTCCATGAATAATTTTTGCATGCCAGCCTGAACATGTCATTAAGCTCGGGACATGATCTTCAGAACAAGCAAGCTCAATTTCTTCCAGATGGTAACCAGAGAGCCCATTTTGACCATGACACTTACCATGACTGACACCATAATGAGACACGCTGAGGAGAGTGTGTGAATCCAACCAGATAAGATGTAGTAAGGATCCAAATAATGTTTCAGATAAACATGATTCAGCACTGTATTCCTTGCCCTCTAGTTCTTCCCAAGCATCGATTTGCGGAAGCTCTAGAATACACAAACAACCATTCGACAAACCAACAGCTAACAAGTTTCTTGAACTTTTGAATTGAACAGCAACATCCCGAACTGCGGATGGAAATTTAATGCCGAATAAGTACATTGGAGGTGGCAAAAGAGATATACAAAGAGGGGTTACATGTATCCTAGATCCATCCACAACAAATGCTGTCGAGTTCTCTGTGACAGCTGTATTCCAGCAAAAGTTGTAAGTAGTGCTCCTGCCACTCAGAGTCCAGCATATCAACTGCAACGGTTTTGTTGGATGCCACATGAACTTCAATCCTTCTTGGCTCGGGTATCTAATTTCTTGTTTTAAATACCAATGGTTGTTGCAGCAGTACCAGATCCTAACAGAGTCATAGTTTTCACATCTAACAACGGTGACAAGGAGGTCTGAATTGCAATTCCACTTCAACATCACTACTGTCGCATCCATCCGATCATCAATACTAAATGAGCTCCTCTCCAATCCATTTCTTTCGAACAAAACTAACAGTGGACACTCATTGTCCTTCTTCCTGTCATAAACAGCAGCAATTTTAGCCCCACTAGGCATCCAATCCATGACACTTCCAATGAAGGCCTTCATATCAGAAGCAGCATGTGCTGACCCCGAGTCTCGTTCCCAAACCTTAAGCCTCTTATGAGAAGAAGGAGGAGAAGGAGAATTGCAGGACTCGCTCAGTGTTGCAAAGTACTTCCCATCACCTCGCCAACAGATTGAACTTTCAAGCATTTGTCCAGAGGAAATGGTGTGTTCAACTGAAATCAGGGGGAAAGATGTCAACTCAGATTAAGCAAGGTCCAGCATAAATAAAAGAAAACATTTACTTCTAGCTATCGCATCAAAGTAAGAAGAACAATAATGATCGAATTAAAAGCAAAATCATTGCGTCTTTTTTTTTTTTTTTGAGGCAGGTAGGTAGTACTGCATCTGCTCATTACGGTCCAAGAGCAGTTGTGGACTAACCCATTACCAGGTGAAATTTTGCTCTTTCAAGAACAAATAAGGACACTGCTCGAAAGGAATTGCACAAAACCAAAACCTAAAGTATGCCCAGAACAGAATAATAATGGACCACGGATAATGGATAAAGGTCCTTACGTACGTCAACCCCTTCAGGAGAATCCTCCAACGAAGTTTCATGCAATAAATCCCAATCATGCGTCATCACTAGTAGCTGCCCAAAACCAGTGACTATTCCAAGCAGATCTCCGTCCGGACTGGGTGAAATGCAAGAGACACCACCGTCCACTCTACCCACAACGTCCGTTGTGCTTGCGTCCACACTATGTAGAATGATTAATCCATTCAATGTACCCAATATCAGAGCTTCTTTCTCCATTAGATAATCAAAGGAAGTAATGCGGTCCCCTGGCTCCAAATCAATAATATTGACTTCTGCCGGTAGAGAGGTACTTGTCCATGCTTCGTCATTCTGGCACAATCACTTTAGATTAGAAAGAAAGAGGGATGACCAATGTAAAAAGAGTAAACTTCATTTCTCTGCACTCAATGTACTCAATTTGCGTTTGCCCAAATTCCCTTCAACATGAATCGAAAACTATCCCAGAAAACACCAAGTCCTTACTAAAAACCACTAAGTGGAAGCTCAAGAACTTATGATTCCAAAGCTAACGACCTCATCGAAGAAAAAGCCAAGAATAAGAAACTACTTGGAATTCAGATGCAGAATGCTTCGAAATCATCAAAATATCACCTTTGGACCGTGCAGTAATCTCAAAGGCTATATATTTACGATCCCCAAAAAGAGTTTACTAAATTGAATAAAAAGAAGTAAAAACCAGAAAGATGCATAAATAACATCACAACAGTGAGATTAAGGTTCAAATTCTCGATGCAATGGCAAATATGAATGATTTGAACTTTTATCAGCAAATTGAATACACAACTCCTGAAATTCTCTTACGTACCTTTTTTTTCTCAGAACAAGAAGAGAGATATGAAAGCGATAGATAGCGCAAAAATCAGAATAAAAAGAAAAGCGCCCACTGTCTTCAAACAAAACAAGCTCCCTCCTCAAATCCCTCGATATGACACAGCTCAGAAACCTACGCAGGTCAGTAAATGTTCAAATTCCCAACTCAAACGATCACAAAAGAATCGCTCCGCTTCCTGTCGGCCTAATCCCTCGCCGTTAACCGATAGAACCGCGCAGCTGCGTCCATTAGCCGGCAAGAGAGCCTTACCTGAAACGAAGAGAGGTGAGCGGTGTAGATGCGATTCCCCGAGGAAGCGAAGAACAACCGGTCGCGCTCGATGTCGATGGCGGAGAACAGGATCGCTTCTTCCTCGGACCGGAGGCCGAGATGCAGAGTGACCTCTGAGTACAGCTTCAGATTCTTCATGTTGAGCTACGATTCGGTGAAGGAGGGGAAGAAGAAGAAGAAGAAGAAGCTGAGGGCGAAACGGAGAGCGACACAGGTGAAGGGACTAAAACTCGGTGCTCACGGTTTCACGGGGTTTAGCAGGAAATACGCTGATGGATAGGGTTTTGCGGGGTTCTTCATTTTCAATAAAGAAATGAAATTATTAAAAAAGCCAAAAGCAAAAAAATATATAATAACAATCATAAAATATACTATAATCCATCCATCAATTATCTAAGGGAAAATTACACGAATCATCTCTGAACTTTAATTCAATATATAATTTCGTTTATAAACTTTTAATGTGTACAATGACGTCCCTAAACTTTGGCCCTACGTGTAATATCGTTCATAAACTTTTAGGTCTCTAAACTATTATTAAATATTCAACGTAGTTCTTTCATTTGCTCGAACGACAAATCGAACGTTATTTAATGATGTGGATTATTATATACTGAGTTGGATTTTAAAATATGATGAGTTTGTATGTCCATCGTTTTATCCATCTGCGTTAGAATAGGAAAAACAAATTAAGGACTTCAAATATGCAGCATAGAATTTTTTTGTATAATTTGAGATAAATATCTTACGTTGACTATTCATGTATAACAATTTTTTGCTCATCGAATTGGAAGCCACGTAGTAAATTCCGTTAACTTCAATTAATGGAAAGACAACATTAAAGATTTTCACAGTATAGGAACTAGATTAAATATTTATCAATAGTAAATTAAAAAAATTATGGATGATATTGCACAGTGGACCAAAATTCAATGACAGCATTGAAGAAATAAAAGGTTCGAGGAAGATATTGCACATTGAACAAAATTCAAGGACCATTTGTATCATTTTCCCATTATCTAAAAAATTATGAAATTCTACTTTTCCAAGGAAGAATCGCTCAATTTTAATACTACACTCCTAAAAAGAATATATATATATATAATTCGATCGTAGGCGAGCCACGAGATTGAGTCGATTATAGGGCTGCGTTGATGTTGTCCAAAGTGGAAGTGAAAAGAAGGAAAAAAGAAAAAGAAGGTTTAAATAGAAAATATGCATAATTCTGCATTGAAAAAGAAAGCGATTTTTCATGAGATCTAAAAAAGTTTTGGGCAAAATTGAATTTGACTTAAAATTGGTGATTTTTTTAAAGAATTAGGCCGGTTTCATAGTCGGTGAAATCCTAGATTTTGAATATGTAAGCGGTGATCCTCGTAGATACGATATCAAAGAGATTTATAAGTACAACACAAAAAAGCGTCGATATTTGCATTTAATTGCAAAGTTTTCATTTTCCAAGTGCCACACACAATATGATTTCATCTCCTTTTCGGCCACCTTATCATGCTGCAACATGTAAACACCTTGTAACATCTAAGGGCCCAACAGGCCCAACGGGCCGAACAATTTCAAGACAACACTCGAAACGGGCCTCAAGAGGAAGCCCAACTACAACTTCGACCGGGCCATAAACGCCGCCACTTCCTCGACAGTCTCATCGCATCCGACGGCCTCCAGCACCTCCCGCAGCACCACCCTCCGGTTCCGAGCGTACACGTGTCCGTCCCACTTCCTCGCGACCAACGCCTCCCCCAGGTCCGCCGCCGCCGCCGCCGCCGCCACCGTCGCCTCCGCGCCGTCGTGGGCCGAGTCGACCACCCCGATCCTCACCCCGTCCTCCGCCGTCAGATTCGCCGCCCCCATCACGACCTCCCGCCGGGCCCTCGGGTCGCCGATCTTGGACCTCATCAGGGCCATGAGCCAGTTGGGGATGACGAGCCCGATGTCCATCTCGCTCATGTACAGGAAGCCCCGGTCGCGCCGCATGACCACGTAGTCGTGGCTGAGGGCGAGCATCATCCCCGCGGCGGAGGCGTGGCCGGTGACAGCGGCAATGGTGGGCATCGGGAGGCAGATGAGGTCGCGGACGAGGGAGCGGAAGGAGGAGGACATGAGCAGGAGGCGGGACTCGGAGGACTGGACCCAGCCGAGGTCGTAGCCGTTGGAGAAGAACTTGCCGTGGGCGGTGGTGATCAGGGCGGCGGAGGGGGATGAGGCGGAGGGGTCGGATTGGAGGCGGGAGAGGGCGGAGCGGAGGGCGGAGATGAGGTTGGGGTTGAGGCGGTGCTCGCCGGCGCCGGTGAGGGTGAGGATGAAGAGGTTGCCGCGCTTCTCGAGGGTGCAGAGCTGCTCCTCGCCGGGCTTGTTGTCCGCCATGAGAATGGTCAGATTGGTTCTGCGTGGGAGGCGGAGAGAGAGAGAGAGATGGTGGGGTTCAAGCGATGTGCAGAGTGAAGTCAACTGGATTGGGAGACGAATGGTCATCAATAATTAATAATTATTTTTAAAAATTAAAAATAAAAAAAAATTGATTGTGACATTAACTAAAAAGAATGTGGCATGGTTAGGACAAGCTTATCGTCCCTGGCACGAGGAAATTAAACGTGTTTGAATTCGTATCAGAAACGGGTCGACCTATTTAAGACAATGACAAAAATCGTACCTTACTCTCAAATTAGCTTGCTTGTTAAAACATGAATTGGCGCGTTTTAAATGAACTTGTCATCTTTTTATACGACACTATGAGTAGATATCCTTGAAGTTTTGAATCGTTGTAAGTTTTATAAAAGTATCACACATTTAAACAAGAAAAGAGTAAAACAGAAACATGTATTTAGGGTAACAATAGTTATTGGACACAAAAACCTAAATATATAACAAACAATACATGTAACAAATAGTGATATTGTATACGACGTGCTAATACAATTAATCATGTATTGATGGGACGTGTTTAATATTGGAAAAATGATAATGTATTATGTCATGGACATCAACCATGGCGACGCATTTGATAATCATGATAATTGAATCGTGTTTTATGACCAACTTTATCATATTGGTATTCGTGTCGAATTAGTTGGACATGTTTATAACACGATTAACACCACACAACACGAATTACCAGCTCTAAGCATGTTTCTTGTCTCTCTCGTAAAAGATGAAGGGGGAGCATCTACCGGCTCGTCTAGGCATAACTGTTATTATCATAACGACAATTATTGTTTGATTGAAATTGTAGTTCAAAAAACTAAGAGGATTTTGTCAAGGAGGTTAATCATACTTGGAGAAATATTTTATAATACAGCCTACATCCAACATGAGGACGAAAGTACTATAGAAGCACTATGTTCATAAAAATCTTTGTTGTTAAAAGTCTATGCATATGATATATGCAAATGCGAAGGGGATAATTGTTCAAAAATCCTAAACCTATCATAAACTTTTTAATTTGCCAATTTAGCTTCAAACATTTTGACCAATTTCCAACATAGTCCATTCGACCAATTTTGGCAAGGTTCCGACCATCGACGACCAGTGAAGAGAAATAGGAAAAACAAGAAAAAAGAAAAAAGATAGAAAAGTAAATTAAAAAAAGAAGAATTTCATAATATTTTCCAAAGATTGCAAAAATCATCTATGTCAGCACCATGTTGATTGGACCACCACGTACGTGATTTTCAGCTAAAATTGACTGGAAGAAATACATTGACAAATAGTGAAAAAGTTTAGGACTAAATTGACCAATAAGACTGAATTGACCGCCATACAATTTGTTTATGACTTTTTGGACCGCTATGTTCGTGATCTTGGGGTTATTATGGAGACAAATTGTTCATTACTTTCCATGCTTAAACAAGGCGAATTTGTAGTCTAAAGCCAATAGACATGCGCCCATGCTCGTAAAGATATTAGGGGGGTGAGTCGGAGAGTATTAGTTATGGGATTCGATCCCCGTAAATACTGCACACACATATACATAGAAGAGAAGAGATAAAAAAATTGTAGTTTAAAGTAACTTTGATAATTATGTTCATTATATCGCGGGTAGAGCTTTATTAGATGCATACGGACGAAGCCTTTTACATGCATCAGAACTCGTGCTGAAGAGTATACACCGTGTCTAAAGAACAAAGACATTCCATGTCCGTAAATTGCACGCTGTTACATTTTCAAATGGAATAATTCTATTCAAAACTATGTAGACCATTTAACTCGTGCTATGGGCATGTATTAATTTATGTGTTTTTTCATCATATTAATTTATATAGATACATAATATACAAAATAAATGTAAAAGAAATATACCCGTTAACATTCATAGATTCATATACACGAAATTTAGAAAACTTAACAACGAAAATTAATCGAAGTTTTCATCAAAACTATGAAGAAGTATAAATTCATTTCATTATTTTCTTCAGTAAAAAAGAGAAAATGCGGCTTTATGCGCTATTGTCAATCACCATCCTTTTGTAAAAAAAATAAAAATAAAAAAACTCATCAACCTCTTTTTCTTAAGAAATTAGCGGTTAACCAAATAAAGCAAATAAGAATCTCCTACTAACAAACATAAAATGCAAAACAAAAAAAAAAAGGAGAAGAAGAAGTTGGAACTCGATAGCTAAAAGCCCATAGTAGATATATATGTGTAATTGTCACCAGCCTTTTTTTATCATATTATTTTGCTAATACATACGTGCTTACTCAAATATTGAGAGGGAACTTAGGAGCTTTTGGACGGAGGAAGTATACTCCATGTCAGCTTCTGCCAGGATTGCAGGTGTAAAAACCTCCTACGCTTGGGGTGACAAGACGAAGCTTCGACCTTTGCTTCAACCAACTTACTAACCTAGTACTCTTGATTATCAGACACGGTCGATAATGAAAATATTTCTATCCTCCACGAAAATGTTTAGACGTAATTTATTATCGATAATGAAAATATTTTTCGCTAACTAATTATTTCAAGTAATATAAGCTATCGTTTTTATGAAAAAAAGAGATTTGATATTATATATATATCGCAATGGAGCTGTACCAGGAGATAACAGAGGAGCACCCCCCAACGCTTTCCTCCGCAGGGCGCCTACCTTGGACGCAGACAAAAGGAACAGAACAGCGATAAGCCTCGGCTCAAACTTGACCTCTGCTGCTCCTCCGAGAGCAAAGAGGCTTACGCCAATGGCGACGAGGGTGAACTGCAGCGCGTGGTTCGTAAACCCTTGGCACGCCATAGCCTCCAGGCCTTCCCTTTCGAGGCCTCGTCTCCAATTCCGCCACACCCTTTTCTCCTCTTCGTCTTCTGCTTCGTCGGCGACTCGTGGAGCCGTGTGCTGTACTGGGTCGAGCAACGGCGCTTCGGAGACCGACCCTTTTGTTCTGACGACGCCGCTTTACTACGTCATTGCCCCTCCCCACATGGGCAGCGCCTACACTACCATTGCTGCTGATGCTATCGCTCGCTTTCAGGTCTGTCTTCAGCCGTTATTCAGTCTTCCCTTGACGAAATTCTTTTGCTGATTTTCTTTTTCGTCGTTTTTTGGTTGTTTGTGAGCTGTGGGTGTCGGTCAAGGCAAAACCCATGTTTCTTGATCCTCCTTTTGATGTCATTTAGGAGTAGAAATCAGTGTCACTAGTCGATTGTTTCTTTTATCAGAGTAGATACGTACCAGTTGATTGCGGTTCAACTTTTGCCTTGATGAAAATGAATTAAGTCTGCCTGTAGCTGGCGGGGATGAGATTTTGTTCCGTAGACAAAGTTATAACTTCATAATTCGTTCTTTAACATTTGTTGTATGTGGTAATCTAATGGGATTTTTCTTTTGTTTAAGCTGGGTTTGGATTGGGAAATTGGCTCCAGGAATCGTTTCAACTATTGTCTTGGATTGGGAAATTGGCTTACACTTATATTTCATTTGGTTTCTCTAGTTAATAATTGCCATGTCTTGACAATGGAGTGACTTGTTCTGTGTTCTTGTCAGAGTTGTGAATTTGTTGATGACGCTGCTTCGCTTTTCCTTTTAATGACAGAGGCTATTGGGTAAAAAGGTTATATTTATAACAGGCACTGATGAACATGGTAAAAAAGTTGACTATTCATGTATAACATTTTTTTTGTTCACCGAATTGGAAGCCACACAGTAAATCCCGTTAACTTCAATTAATTGAAAGACGACATTAAATATTTTCATAGTATAGGAACTAGATTAAATGTTTATCAATAGTAAATTAAAAGCTTATAGATGACATTGCACAGGGGATTAAAATTCAAGGATCGCATTGAATAAATAAAAGGTTCGAGGAAGATATAGCACATTGGACAAAATTCAAAGACCATTTGTATCATTTTCCCATTATCTAAAAGAATGTGGAATTCTAATTTTCTAGGAAGAAACACTCAATTTTAATACTACATTCCTATATATATATTTCGATCGTACGTTAGTCACGAGATTGAGTCCATCGTAGGGCTAAGTTGATGTTGTCCAAAGCGGAAGTGAAAAGAAGGAAAAAAGAAAAAGAAGGTTTAAATAGAAAATATATATAATTTTGCATTGAAAAAGAAAGCGATTTTTTATGAGATCAAAAAAAGTTTTGGGTAAAATTGAATTTGACTTAAAATTGATGAGTTTTTAAAGGAGTTAGGCCAATTTCATAGTCGGTGAAATTCTAGATTTCGAATATGTAAGCGGTGAGCCTCGTAGATACGATATAAAAGAGATTTATAAGTACAACACAAAAAAGCGTCGATATTTGCATTTAATTGCAAAGTTTTCATTTTCCAAGTGCCACACAATATGATTTCATCTCCTTTTCGGCCACCTTATTATACTGCAACATGTAAACATCTTGTAACATCTAACGGGCCCAACGGGCCGAACAATTTCACAACAACACTCGAAACGGGCCTCAAGGGCAGGCCCGACTACAATTTCGACCGGGCCACATCCGCCGCCACTTCCTCGACAGTCTCATCGCATCCGACGGCCTCCAGCACCTCCCGCAGCACCACCCTCCGATTCCGAGCGTACACGTGTCCATCCCACTTCCTCGCGACCAACGCCTCCCCCAGCTCGGCCGCCGCCACCACCGTCGCCTCCGCGCCGTCGTGGGCCGAGTCGACCACCCCGATCCTCACCCCGTCCTCCGCCGTCAGCTTCGCCGCCCTCATCACGGCCTCCCGCCGGGCCCTCGGGTCGCCGATCTTGGACCTCATAAGGGCCATGAACCAGTTGGGGATGACGAGCCCGATGTCCATCTCGCTCATGTAGAGGAAGCCCCGGTCGCGCCGCATGACCACGTAGTCGTGGCTGAGGGCGAGCATCATCCCCGCGGCGGAGGCGTGGCCGGTGACGGCGGCGATGGTGGGCATCGGGAGGCAGATGAGGTCGCGGACGAGGGAGCGGAAGGAGGAGGACATGAGCTGGAGGCGGGGCTCGGAGGACTGGGCCCAGCCGAGGTCGTAGCCGTTGGAGAAGAACTTGCCGTGGGCGGTGGTGATCAGGGCGGAGGAGGAGGCGGAGGGGTCGGACTGGAGGCGGGAGAGGGCGGATCGGAGGGTGGAGATGAGGTTGGGGTTGAGGCGGTGCTCGCCGGCGCCGGTGAGGGTGAGGATGAAGAGGTTGCCGCGCTTCTCGAGGGTGCAGAGCTGCTCCTCGCCGGGCTTGTTGTCCGCCATGAGAATGGTCAGATTGGTTCCGCGTGGGAGTCGGAGAGAGAGAGAGATGGTGGGGTTCAAGCGATGTGCAGACTGAAGTCAACCGAAGTGGGAGACGAATTGGTAATTAATAATTAATAATTACTGTTAAAAATTGATTTTTTTTTTTTATTTTGACATTAACTAAAAAGAATGTGGCATGGTTAGGACAAGCTTATCGTCCCTGGCACGAGGAAATTAAACAAGTTTGAATTGGTATCAGAAACGGGTCGACCTGTTTAAGACAATGACAAAAATCGTACGTTACTCTCAAATTAACTTGCTTGTTAAAACATGAATTGGCTAGTTTTAAATGAACACGTCATCTTTTTATACGGCACGATAGGCACATATCCTTGAAGTTTTGAATCGTTAAAGTTTTATTAAAGTATCACGCATTTAAAACAACAAAGAGTACAACAAAAACATATATTTAGGGTAAAAAACCTAAATATATAACAAGCGCAAATAGTCATATTGTATACAACGTGCTAATACATTAATCATATATTGATGTGACATGTTTATTATTGGAAAAATGATAATTTATTGTGTCATGGACATCAACCATGGTGACGCATTTAATAATCATGATAATCGAATTATGTTTTATGACTCGCTTTATTATATTGGTATTCGTGTCGAATTAGTTTGACATATTTATAACACGATTAATGCCACACGACACGAATTACCAGATCTTATCATGTTTCTTCTCTCTCTCTTGTAAAAGATGAAGGGGGAGCATATGCCAGCTCATCCAGGCATAACTGTTATTATTATAACGACAGTTATTGTTTGATTGAAATTGTAGTTCAAAAAATAAGAGGATTTTGTCAAGGAGGTTAATCATACTTGGAGAAATATTTTATAATACGGCCTACATCCAACATGAGGATGAAAGTACTTTAGAAGCACTTGATAATAAAAATCTTTGTTGTTAAAAGTCTATTCATATGATATATGCAAATGCGAAGGGGATGATTGTCCAAAAATCCTAAACCTATCATAAACTTTTCAATTTACCAATTTAGTTTTAAACCTTTTGATCAATAGTCCATTCGACCAATTATGGCAAGAGTTCAGCCATCGACGACCGATGAAGAGAAATACGAAAAACAAGATAAAAGAAAAAAGATAGAAAAGTAAATGTAAAAAAGAAGAATTTCATAATATTTTACAAAGATCGCAAAAATCATCCATGTCAGCACCAGGCTGACTAGACCACTACGTATGTGATTTTCGACTAAAATTGGTTGGAAAAACTACATTGACAATTAGTGAAAAGGTTTAGGACTAAATTGACTAAATAAGACTGAATTGGCCGCCGTGCAATTTGTTTATGACTTTTTGGACCGCTACGTACGTGATCCCGGGGTTATGATGGAGACAAATTGTCCATTACTTTCCATGCTTAAACAAAGTGAATTTGTAGTCTAAAGCCAATAGGCATGCACTCGTGCTAGTAAAAATATTAGGGGGGTGGGCTGGAGAGTATTAGGTCTAGGATTTGATCCTCATAAACACCACACACATATGTACATAGAAGAGAAGAGTGAGATAAAAAAAATTGTAGTCTAAAGTAAAACCAAGAGAGTTGATTGAGTAGCTTTATTTGACAAGGAGATGTCATGGTAAAATCACAACATTTTTCACTCAAAGTAACTTTGATAATTAGGTTCATTATATCGTGGGTAGAGCTTTATTAGATGCATACAGACGAGGCCTTTTACATGCATCAGAACTCGTGCTGAAGAGTATACACCGTGTCTAAAGAGCAAAGACATTCCATGTCTGTAAATTGCACGCTGTTACATTTTCAAATGGAATAATTCTATTCAAAACTATGTAGACCATTTAACTCGCGCTATGGGCATGTATAAATTTACGTGTTTTTTCACCATATTAATTTATATAGATACATAATATACAAAACAAATGTAAAAGAAATATACCCATTAACATTCACAGATTCATATACTCGAAAATTAAAAACTTAACCATGAAAATTAATCGAAGTTTTCATCAAAACTATGAAGAAGAATAAATTCATTTCATTATTTTTTTCAGTAGAAAAGAGAAAATGCGGCCTTATGCGCTATTGTCAATCACTATCCTCTGTAAAAAGAAATACTCATCAACCTCGTTTTCTTAAGAAATTAGCGGTTAACCAAATAAAGCAATAAGAATCTCCTACTAACAAACATAAAATGCAAACAAAACAAAAAAAGAGAGAAGAAGAAGCTGGAACTCGATAGCTAAAAAGCCCATAGTAGGTATGTATATATATGTGTGTGATTGTCATCAGCCTTTTTTTATCATATTATTTTGCTTATACATATGTGCTTACTCAAATAACAAAAGTAAAAATCTCTAATTAACCAACAGAAACAAATAATCAAATATTTGGAACTTGGTAACTAAAAGTAAAAGAAAGAAAGAGAAAAAACAACCAAAAGTTAAATATCCAATATGCTCGATCATCTAAGAGCAAGGACTATAGCTCCTACGTATATGTACTCCTAAGATTAGTTCCCACAAAAAAAAATGAAAATCAAGGGTTTGAATGACATTTAATTTATTGGAGAAATTAGGGTTCAATGTGAAAAAAATTTGGGGAATATCAAAATGTGAAATACAAGAAGCCACCACCCGCCTGGGTGGCGCTGCTGGAAAGGGCACTCTTCCTCTCGCAAAAAGTTGAGTGTTCGAATCCCGGGCGCCGCAGGGTGACTTAACCGGTGCACGTGTGTGGTGGCTAGCACGTGTCTTCCCCAGGGTTTAAATCTATTAATTATTTTGTGTTGAGACTATAGGAAAGCCAGAAGGAGAAGTGGAAAGCTGAAGGAAAACTCAAGTCTTCTGTACGCATCAAATATGGATCAATACTCTGTGTAACTGAATTCTGTTCTTTAAACTAAGAGAAAAACAGAGTAGTTGTCTTTTTGTTAATTCAGTTGTATTGATTTGTTCCTTCTGTTAATTCAGTTGCACAGTTGTACTTCTGGTGTGTAAGCTGTACGTATTATATAAAAACAGCAACATACACAAGAGAGAAGCTAAGCTCTCAAATGATATTCTGAATACAGTTCAAGTTCTTCAACTGTAAACTCTCTGTTTCGTCCTGCTTCATTTCTCAAGTTCTTCACATGGTATCAGAGCTTTTCTCTGAGAGCAAAGCTGCGTATCTTCATCTTCATCTTTTCTCTTGAAGAACACAGCAATGGCAGCGAGAATACCAAGATATCCTTTTCCTATCCACGTAAACATCTCTAACTTTGTTACAATCAAACTTGCAGAAGACAATTTTCTTCTATGGCAGACTCAGTTTCATAGATTTATCCGGAGTCAAGAGCTGTTTGGTTTCGTCAATGGAGAAATTTCACCACCACAGAAGTTACAACTTGATATTGAAGGGAACGAGACTGAAGCTGTGAATCCTGAATAC